TTAATGGAGGCCAAACTAGGACCACACACAGGAGTTACATTTGCAAGGAACCGAATACTATTTGTATGTTGTTAAATAAACAAGGTGCTTGGGGTGAACGATGTTTGTTTGCAGCATGTGTAATTGAAGCTGGCATAATATTAAGCATGATCTCAATATTACAAAGCTTACGTGAAAGCATGACACAGTCTCACGTTCTTCTTCTTGTTTCTTCTTTCAGCCTGCTTGAAAAATGGCCTCCAGGTAAGAGTTGCGATGATCCAGACCCGACCCACAGCAGAGATGAATGTGTCTGATGAATCCTCCTACCAAGAGGAGGTGCTGCTGGGTAACTCTACCTGGGGCTACTCCTATTATCATCAAAACTACACCCTGATCCCTCCACTATCAGAGAAGGCTAGCACCTCCAAACCTGCAGCATGCGAGCAGGTCCACATCGCTATCGAGGTCTGTAGCACTTTGGATTCATTTATTTATCTCGTGATTTCTTCTTGGCTACCACTACCCCGACTGTCTCTTCACTGGTCTGTATTTTGATCTCCTCTCCTAAGGTCTTTCTGATCCTGGGTATCATCTCACTGCTGGAGAACATTTTAGTCATCACAGCCATAGTGAAGAACAAGAACCTACATTCCCCCATGTACTTCTTTGTCTGCAGGTAAACTCCTCAGTGGTTTAAGACATCAAGGGGAAAATAACATAATAATGTATGAGGACCACCCAAAACCGTTTTAATAAAGTGAGCTTACCATGTGTAAAAGATTTTGTTAAGCAGCAGTTTATTAAAATATGCTTCTATCCTTCAGTGCTTACTCTCTGTCTTGGTGTAATACAACCTTTCCCAGGGGCTAAATGCAATATAGGTCCCAAGTGAAACCTTGTTCACTCTTGTCAACATATTAGTGTAAATGGATACATTTAGGATTAGAATACACCCTAATGTAACCATTATAATTGGATAACAATGCATGCCTCCCCTCAAGGCCCATATCATTTGAGTTCACATTGTTATTTTCAAGCCCTTCTCAAACGACCATAACAACGCTGCATCCACACAGGAAGCATTTTGGAGGAATGCGGCGACCAGAGACCACAGAAAGACAATAAAATGTAACAACTTCAAAAAAGCAAAAACAAACAAACAAAACAATGAGATAAACATTTCTCAACTTAGTGATTGAAGCAACTATCAGTGAGAGTGCAGGATACGTTCCATTAGACCATCCTGACTGACCTATGACCTGATAGCAAATACGTTTGAGGATGACCTAAGAAAGCAATTCAGCAGTTCAGTCAATTCAATTCAGTTCAGTTTTATTTATGTAGTGTAAAATCATAACAAGTTACTTCAACTTATAAGGTAAAGACCCTACAATAACACCCAGAAAGCCTCAGATGAGAAGGAATACATTATATCTCTGACAGAACCATGCAGGGGCAGCCACCCGTTGCCACCAGTTGGGGTTGAGGAAGATGGGTCTAAAGACATACTGTGGAAAAATAATAACAGTACTATTAATAATAACTAATAATGAAATCACAACAACGATCCTGGAATATTCCCTAGCAAACAACTGTCAGCTTCAATGCAATGTGAATAACCCCCTGTGTGGATGGATTTTAGGTATCTGCCAGACACTGAACCGATAACTTTCGGAGTAGCCTATGTTGATGTAATTAATAGACATGAACCGTTATCAATTATGTTCAGAAAGGTCCTGATTTATCTTTTGTGACACAAATGATTAAAGTGGTTCAGTCCTGCTTTGTAAAACCGAGACAGCTATCCAGGATTAGATTAATCCTTTCTGTTCTAAAAAGGTCATCAATGCTTTTATCGTCTATAGAATTGAATATTGTAATGCACTTTACTCTGCTCCAGAGGCTACAGCTGATGTTGCCTACGTAGCTTTAAAACCACAGAAAGAGAAGCAACCACAACATACCAATCCCTCCCTGTTGCCCTTCACTGGCTAACAGTAGTTTTTATTGAGAATAGTCTGGCTCCTGAGTTCCTCTGGCAGTGCTCTGTTAAAGGTTCATGAATAAAGGTTCTGGAAAGGTCATGAAAGGTTACCGGGCCTTTGCCTACTAGGCCCCTCAGCTGTGGAACTGCCTGGCAGGAGATGCCAAGCGAGCTATCCTACTGGTCTCTTTTAAATTGAAAGCAAGGAGAACACAAGGAAGCATGCCAGCAAGCAAACAAGCAAGTAAGTATGAAAGAAAAATAATACAAGTAACCATAAAAAGCAATTTAAATGGCTTACAGGCTCAGGTAGAGCGAACTTTTGTTTTGTAGAAGTGTGACTTCAAGGTAACAGTCTAGAGTATGTTTCTATGTGATTACACAACAGGATTTTTTGCCAGAATTCAAAGAAATAATGAGTTTCAATTTCCAAACCTTCTCCTTCATGTAACTGATTAAAAAGCTCAGTTGTGCAAAAAATATTTTTCTTTTGCCTGAAGTGGAAAAGTTGGTTTATTTATAAAAGCCGAAGAACAGTTGAAGATAATTGGTCATCCTGAGCTTGGCAGAAGCAGATTTCCAATATAATCCAATGTGAAATCTAATCATTCTTTCCACTTAGAAAAATGTCATGCAGCATGTGTTGCCAGAGGAAACATGTGAACTCTTGAAAATGACATAAATCTTTTATCCTGATTATAAATGGTTAAATAAAACCATTTGTAGCAGGGAGTTACAAAAGAGGCTTTTTGATCTTATAATCTTGTGCTAATCATTAGGTAACGATGATTTAAACAACTTATGATTAACCTTCTTTCTTTAAATTTGTCTCCAACCAATAGAGATCTGTGGACTCAAAAATCATGACATATTTGGAGCAGCTGCCACATCAAAACCAAGTCACACTTTTAATGACCCTACTGTATAAATCAGAAAAATACTTGGATGTCTGTTTTCACATCAGCACCAATTTCTTGTGACTTTGTTTGGTCTGTCTTCTGATTTGAAAGACTTAATCCTCTTACTAAGACAAAAGCAAACGTGTTTCAGCTGTGCAGAGACACAGCAGACATTCAACTAAGTCTTTGAATTTCTGGCGAGCTGTATAGCGCTTCTGTTCATGTGGTTCTGAATGACTGCCACGGCGTAACACTGAGGTACAGCGAGTTACTGCATGATAACACTTGTTATCTGTTATTTGAAAATCCATTCGATTCATGGGGGGAAAAAGAAATACATTCCTACTTAATGTGTTGTTTTCCTTCTCTCTATAGGTAAGTTGTGAGTATTTGGTGATCAACGATGTTGATCGTGATATAATATGCTGCCTTGGTAACCAAGACAATAGAGGAGAGCCTGTTGCTTCCTGTGGGCTGCAATCTTAACATATTACATGCCACCTCCACTCAACGTGGTGTTAAGAGCTTGTGCTCATTATTATTTCTGTGAGACTTGCTGTCATTTTCTTTGGCACTTGAACAAATTGCTTTGCCAACAAGGTTCAACTAGATGTCCTGGAGAACATATTATTGTAGTGTCATGAATTCTCATTTGAACACCAAAACACCAAAATGGCACCAAAGCATAGAAATACATCTTAAGCTAAATGTTTTAAATATCACCTCTTCCGGCCAAGAAGCTTTTACTCATTATACGAATCATTTGTCAAGTCAAGGCATGGAGTCCAAACGTGGAAAGCTGTGGAAAATCTAGAAAACTAACAACAGCCAGATTGTTAACCTTGCTCTGCGACACCTCTGAAATAATGTGTCAACTAAAACTAGACTTTTCCTGACTCTAAATTTAGTCCAGGGCAAACAATTCAGAGTTAAAATTGGGACTAATCAGGTTCTGAGTGGTGTATCTAGAGAGCTGTAAACATGTTTGTGGTTTTTACAGTGAAAGAACCTTTTCCTTACTTGGCTCATATGTTTGTGTGTGATTTCAGTTCAATTGTGTTAGTACAGTGAAGGAAAAAATAACTGTAAATTCAGACAGATGAGATTGTGCTGAAAAGAACAAGGCAAGGCAAAAATAAATAAATAAATTTAAAGGTGAATCACAAAAATAAAATAAAAAAATAGTCCGAAATGGCCAATTATACCCTGGACCCCAGAGCGTTAACCAAATAAAACATGAAAAATTTGTGAAAAAATGGGTTCATTTGTGGCATTTTGTGTAAATTTAAGCAATTTGATTATTTCTAATTAAAAAAGATTATGAAACTTTAGTTAGACTTGTGTTTGTAAATGAATCACCTCATGTTGTGTAGCTTTATTGATTTTATGCTTATTGTTCTACATACTTATTCATCATACAGGCTGGTACATAAAATCAAAATTCACATGTTTTATGTAACTGAAATGTTTAATTATGTGGGCTAAAGAAAAAGAAAATTATAGAGTACGTTTATATGAAACATCTGTATACTTACTGCTTTTGATGTATTTTAACTGTATATAATACATATTACAGAATGTAACACATGCATATGTGTAAAAAATAAATTGCTTTGATTTTGCCACCCCATTTGATTTCCATGCCACCCAAAGAAAATTTGCCTAGATCCGCCCCTGCCTCTGTTCACACTATGCACACTATGTACATACTCTGACCATCAGCCACCAGCAGTTATAGGATCACTGTTTTAACCATTTTTGCTGTGGAAAAACATCAAATTTTACATGTAAATATACATAAATAGCATAGACATGTTGTTTATTTTTAAGAAGCTCTTAAAATATTAGTATTATTTAGAAACAGTGTTTGGAAACAGCATCAAGCGTCTGTCTGTCTGCAGTGCAGTTTTTTTTTTCGTGACCACTTTTAACTGGGGAGATAGGATCCATTTTCCCACCATCTTTGCTGGCTTTGTTGCTTGTGCAAAGGCTGTGAGTGCATGTGACTGTCAAAGCATTTCCTCAACTGCACCTCCGGAGAACGTGAAAGACTGTACTCAGGCATTAAATCAATTAATTGGTTTTCCCAGTATGACTGTGAGAAGAAAGTGTTTACACAACAGGAGGGTGAATGCAGCTATTCTGTCAGCTCCTGAATACACAGAAGGAAGTGCATATAGAAACATTTATTTGAACATCTGTTTGCAGAATAAAGGTTGTATAAAGTATTTTGGTTTTTTGCAGTTTGGCAGTAGCAGACATGCTGGTGAGTGTGTCCAACGCCTGGGAGACCATCATCATTTATCTTCTCAACAACAGACAGCTGGTGGTGGAGGATCACTTTATCAGGCAGATGGACAACATGGTGGACTCCATGATCTGCATCTCTGTCGTTGCATCCATGTGTAGCCTGCTGGCCATTGCTGTGGACAGGTAATGATGGAAGGGAGTATAAGCACAAATATATCTTTTTTTTTCTTTTCTTTTTGCTATTGTTTCTTAATAGTTTCCTTTTGAAATGTTTTTAAGGGAACTGAAGTTTTAATTGAAGGCTCTAGTCACAATGAATCCTCATCCATCAGCCCAACACCACAGCCCCCAGTTTCCTAATAATGTTCTTGAACATAACTGACGTGTTACAATTTATAACAACAAAAAAGGACCCTGTAATTTTATGATTAATTTTAAGGAAAATTGAGGCAGTGCTTATTTGGCACTCCTTCAGTTAATTCCTGTCATGTGTTCCCTCTGACATTTCCTTTTTTCTCTCTCTCTCTTTAAACAGTTTTTATTCATTATCAAGAAAAGCATGAAACATAACAAAGCAAACAAAAAAGAAAGAAAGAAAAAAAGAAAAGAAAAAAACCCAAAGGGAATATATTAAAGTCATTATATACCTGTACAAATACACATATGGGGTAAAGAGGAGAGAAAAATACTGCTTGCACTAAATCTTAGTTGTCAGTGCTGAACAGATCAAAGTGTTTTTGTTGTCTCACTGTGTGAATGAATTAAATTTTAAGCAGATGAGTAAACCAGCCTTGATGCAGTTTAATTTTTTGTTTTAAATTGACATTTTATTTCTTAATTTCCACCTTCTTTCTCTGATACACACAACAAATTTGGTTCATTCATCATGGGGATCGCTGCTTACTCTAATGCATCTGTGCAAATGTTAAGACAGGCAGAAAATTTTAGTTTTTTTTACTTTTTACTTTGCAATAAATTATCTGGCAAGACAGAAAACTCAGAAAATGTCCATCTTTCTCTGATTTCCCTTTTCATTCTTTTGCTTTTTTGTATGCTTGTGAAGTAGATTTTAAACCCTTGAAATGTGCAGGTTTTTTTCATCTTCACCATTCGTGTCTTTTTATGGGCTTTTCACATTGAAAAAAATGGATCTTTTAATTTCATCTGAGCTTGAGCTCAACTTGGAGCCTGAATATTTAACAGCAAAGCTGTATTATTAAGAGATGAATATTTCATAAGCACCGATGGCACACTTTCTTGATCTTGTGCTTTCATTTTGACCATTCTATTTCAAAAAGGTCTGCCTCAAATCTCCTAATTCGGTGGGTTAACCTACCATGCAAGTCTTTGGACTGTGGGTGGAAGCCAAAGAACCCACGCAGGTTTACGGAGCACCAGTATGCCGCTCTAAACAGTAATTTTATAACTTCTTAGTTCTAGAACCTAACAAATGACAATAATTGGAAGAATTGCAATAAGGCCTTCAAACTATTCAGTGCCTGTTCTTTATTAGTTCGTCCTGATTGCACACAACCATTCACAGCTACATTTAGCATGTGATCACTATTTTAAAAGTGTGTCTTTGTTACCATTGATTACCATTTAATCAGTTGTCTGCTTAATAATGAATGTAGAATAACTGGAAAAACTGTTCTTTTTTAAATGTTTGTCAGACATGTTGATATTTGATCCATATACATTTAACTGAGTTAAATCTTACTCTTTCTAACATATTGGCATTCCTTTTGTTCCCTTTTCCATGCTTGCTATTCCTTCATGTACTGGAGCATGTATAAAACTACAAACATTGCATAGATCATCATACTGGATGATACTGTACCATCCCCAGAGGCTGTTTGAAAGAGGTGGACTCGGGTCCATATTAGGCTGACTCTGATTCAGTATATGAATCAGGTATAAATACATAGTGTACAAGAATCAGGAAACTTGACAATATGATATTCATTTGGTTTCTCAGTGACATTTAATATTTACGAGATTGTTTCAAAGACATATAAATTACATTCATACCAGAGGTTACAACAGAGCCACCAAATAACAAAATTGCACCTTTTATGCCTAACGTTATCCTCATTGAATATTGAATGTCTCAAGAATAAATGTCTCACTTCATGTGACCTGTAGTCTGGTTCCCTCTCTGTGAGTTATTGTATTCAGCACACACACAGTCCCCGTTATGTTTAAATGTCAAGTTTTCTGACTTGAAACGATTTTGTAATTCATCAGTGAGCAATAAATGTTGATATAAAATTAGAGGTTACTGAGGTGGATACTATGTTATTATCCACAGGTACGTCACCATCTTCTATGCACTGAGGTACCACAACATCATGACGGTGAGGAGAGCTGGCTGTATCATCGGGGGAATCTGGACCTTCTGCACTGGCTGCGGAATTGTCTTCATTATCTACTCAGACTCCACTCCTGTGATCATCTGCCTGATCTCTATGTTTTTTGCCATGCTGCTCATCATGGCCTCCCTCTATAGTCACATGTTCATGCTCGCTCGCTCGCACGTGAAGCGCATTGCTGCCCTGCCCGGCTACAACTCCATCCATCAGCGCACCAGCATGAAGGGGGCTATCACACTGACCATCCTTCTGGGGATCTTTATCGTCTGCTGGGCTCCTTTCTTTCTCCACCTCATCCTGATGATCTCTTGCCCACGGAATCTCTACTGCGTGTGCTTCATGTCCCACTTCAACATGTACCTCATCCTCATCATGTGCAACTCAGTGATTGACCCACTGATCTATGCCTTCAGGAGTCAGGAGATGAGGAAGACGTTTAAGGAGATCATCTGCTGTTACAGTCTGAGAAACGTCTGCACGAACATCTGTGCTTTGACTGGTAAGTACTGAGAAATAGAAAAGACCAGTGAAAGGATGGGTAAAGTGAACTGACCGAATATGACGCTGGAATAGAAATACTACTACCCAAGGACTGGTTCACTGCACTTTTCAGACAGTACAGTGTACCGTCACACAAGCAACTATTGAAAAGTATAAGCTGGAAAGGAGACTGGAACATTGAGTTATCTCCTAATGCGTCCACCATGTACACAAAAAGTTTACTAGATGCATTATTTTAAGGCTTAGTTAGGATCATCTAAAGTCCAAGCCCATGATTCATATTAACGTGCGTCACACAAAACTGTTTGTGGCCTGCTTTTCATTCTCCCTGACATTTCTTTTATCTTTTTTCCTTTGGCCTTTCTTTTTTAATAGGCAAGATTTTTATTCTCTGTTCCCAGAATATGTCTGATGCAGTAGCCAAATGGAGAGACAGGATATTTTTCTTTCAGTGCTGCAAGAGTGCTCATATACTGGCTTTAAATTACAGAACTGCTGCCAAATGTACACGAATGTACCCTTTGTTAATTTAGACGGCTTGATGTACTTCCTTGAACATTAACTTCACATGCATAAATTAACAAAGGCAATGAAGTCAGCAAAAGTTGGGGAAGGTGTGGTAAGAATTATCCACATCCATATGTTAGTGAGTTTTGTTTAGTTTTTGGGTTTTTTTCGCTTTTCTTTCAAGCTGTGACTACAAATTAAAACAGCAATTTTACACATCAAAGTTTGTTTCCCAGTTATGGAGAGTAGTGCTTTGGTTAGTAAGTAGTATCTAGGGTTTTTTTTAAAGACCCTTAAACAAGCGCAAGTGAAACAACACTTATATTTATTCAGATTTTGAATATAATAATCAAAAATCTTTTCCACATCTTTCACAGAGTCCTCTACCAAATCTGTTTGAGATGCTAAATAATTATTTTGAATTTCAGGAGGGTCAGAGAAAAAGAGTAGCACGTCCTCTGCATAGAAGACTCTCTGTCATTCACCGGGTGTTCCATCAGGGCCAGCAATGGTTGTCCAGTTAAATCTAAAACCAGACATCAATTAAAACATTACTAAAGTGAAAGTGATCTCTCAGACATCATTCATGTGATAAAGGATTTCATGTTGGCTGAACTAACCCTGTAAAATGCTCTTATTTGTGGCTGCAGTTGCCTATACTCTGTTTGTCTATTAGGTACTGGAATCTACAGTTTCACTTATTTTCTTTGGTGTGTACATGTCCTGTTAACAAAGGCAAACTTAGAACAAAAACAAAGACAATTTTAAGATGGCAAAAACAGCAGTTCCCCTTGATGCCACCGGGATAGTTTCACCACTTGCAAGAAATCAATGTTGAGTATTTAATGGAGATTAATGATCCTCACAGGCAGCCACACTACAAAGTTCCTATGATGCACAGAGCGCTTCTTGTGCACCACTACTGAATTTAATCATTAACCATTATTAAACTCTGGCTGTCTCTGCTATAGTTTTGCTTTTGTCCTGTCTCGCTCTGTTCTCTTCTCATTCTCCTAACCCCCAATCAATCATGGTAGATGAGCCTGGTTCTGCTGGAGGGTTCTTCCTGTCAAATGGGAGTTTTTTCTTCCATTGTCATTAATTGCTTGCTCATAGAGGGCCGTGTGATCGTTGGCGTGTCTTTCAAACATTGTAGGATCTTTAGCTTACAATATTGAGTGCCTTGAGATGGCCTTTGTTATGAATTGGTGCTCTATAAATAAAATTGAATTGTAATGCCAGAGTACAGTAAAGAATAGGAAGATGCACAAGGCTGTCAGCATATGTAAAAACATAAAAGAAATAATTTAGGTGTATTAAACAGAGGAAAGTGGAGGTTTCCAGAAAATTGGTCAAAGGTTATGAAATGAAGCGGAAATCTGGCAGCTTATTTTATATTTCAAGAAAGTCAAATCCTCTCATTTCCCACCAGTTTCAGCATAATTTATAAATGTAAGATCTCTTATGGTCAAAATCAGACCCTCTTATGGTCTTTTTATGGATCTGCACAGCCTGGATGGCTGCTTAGGTGATCAAGGGCTTTTCCATCAACATCACATGGTTTTAAGGATTATAGGCTTGAAAAATGGTGATGCAGCCATATATTTACATTGAAAATAACAAGAAGAAAACAAGCCTTAACGTGAACATATTGAATACATTGCACTGTAGTAGTAGTAATGATGAGTAGTAGTAATAATCACACTGTAGTAATGACAAGGTCAAACAAATACGTCATAGATCACATAGATTACTTTTTACCACAGAAAGAAAATTTCTATTTTTCAAAGCTTAACAGTTCTTTTTTATTTTGTGACTTTATGAACAAAAACTAAATGTTTTTTCATTAGATCCTGTAGGACCATGCAGCCATCAAAGTAGCCCTATGTATTGATTTCACAGAAACAACTGACTTTAGCATGGAAGATCCAGTTTATTGGTTTTCTTACTAGCATGTCTGTAATTCTTCTTTTACTCCTGGATTTTTCTGCCTGAATGAAGCTGTTGCTGGAGAGGATAATGGTCAAATGAGCCAGCTGCCATTATATGGAACGGCTTTAACGTCAAATAGCGTCATTTTGTCGATTAGAAATTTTGTCTTGAGAAATCTTTAGTCTGCTTCTGACGCCAAGCTGGAAAAACTGAAGGAAGAAAGGGAAGCATTTGCTTTTAAGATTCAAGAGATAGCATCGGCCCTTAACTACAAAGCGGGATGTGGTTTGAGAGGAAAACTTTCTAACTTTTTTTCCTGGTGACTGCAAAGCAATTTAATTTATCTATAGCCTTTTGTGTCGTGGCAAAATCTTCAAAAGAAGCTGATTAAAGCAGTAAATCCTTTCAATTGTTGACTTTGTTCTTTACTTGCTCACAAATCATTTACTAGTAAGAATACAAGTAATTTACTTTATTAATGTATTAATCATTTGTTCCTTTTAGCCTGTATTGTGTTTTTAATTTCTTCATTCTTAAGAAAACAGGTTGTAATAGAAGACAAACAGGCAGCACTAGAATGATCCATGTCACCGCTCCTTTTATATGGAATTCTTACATCTAGAATTGGGGGATTCTGGGTTGACTTACTGAGCTGATGACAACTGGCATAGCCACTTAACATGACTGCTGACGGGAGGCTTTGTGAAACCAGATAACAATAAGATATCTTGAGTATGCCTAACTCATTTCATAGTAAAGACCCTGATCAGTGGTAGTACAGGTCTAACATTTGGGTTGACTTAAAAAGTGCCAGCGAATGAATGTAAAGCAGTGCCATTAGAAAACAACTGTTTTCATATTTAGAATAAATAAAAGCTAAATAAATATAGTCGATTTATAAAGACACTTTTAAAACAAAGGGGCACCTTCCATCTAGTGATGCAGAAGGCACATACGGCTAAACAGAAGAACCACCTGCAGCTGTAAAAGTGATTTCATAATACTAGTGTGCAATGATGGCAATGTGATGGAGGTAAAATGTTGCCTAACACACCATGAAAGCCCCAAAAAGGCCAGTGCACTGCTCTAATGCAAGAATACTGACAGATTTGAGAGGTTATCTACCTCCAAAACTCAGGTGGTTACAGAGCGGTGACTATCTGACCAATTCTGATTCTTATAGGTTTTAGCACATCTTCAGGTTTTTTATAATAGTTTGTCATTTTAGGAGGAAAACATATTTTGAACTAATGCAGCTCAGATTGCATGCACATGTTCTAAAGGAGGTATATGAGCACTCTTCGACAAACAGGAATTGCATATTGAGCTGATTCTTTTTCTTCTCATACACCTAATTCAATTCAATTCAATTCAATTCAATTTTATTTATATAGCGCCAAATCACAACATAAGTCGCCTCAAGGCGCTTCATAGTGGACTCAGTGTTCCTTTGGAGGATTATGTGTTTACACCCAATGCAACCAAACCCACCAGTTGCACATTATTTGTAAATGGCCTCACTGCAAACACCTTGCTTGTTATCTGTACACTGGAGAAGTTGTCTGCCCTGCTAAGCTGAACTTTTGAATGACATCACTTGTCATCAGCCAGTTTTCTGCCTGCTGCTGTTCGCCCTGTGCTGCATTAGTGCTACACTTAACAAGCAAACGTCTCAAATCCGCCCGGTAGCACAGCAATTTCTGCTATGATCTGAATGTAAAGTCACTGCTCTGTTGAGTCACTGTGACCCCCAGTGATCACTTCTCAATGCCACCCTACTGGGCATGTATAAAGCTATGTAAAGCTGCTTGAAATGTAAAAATGAATGTACAAATAGCTTCACTATACCTTCTGTAAGTGTGTGTTGGTGGTGTCTACCTCCAAACTGAGAAGCTTGACAGATTTTTACCGGAAATGCAGCCATCTGCTGAAACTGCTCTTTCATACAGAATGTTGCTGTGCGGTAGACACTAAAAGAAACGAGTTATTTGCTGTTACGTATCAGTATTTATTGCAAAAACAGAAAGTTGTTTATATTGTTCATGTTTTCAGGCTGATGCATTTTGGTTTGTGGATGGAAAGTAATATAAGAGTTGTTTTAAGAGAAAACAACAGCGCCAAGAGGATGTTTTTCTTCGTTCAGTCTTGTAATTGCCTTACTGTTATTTCCTTTAATGTTTATTGCAAGTACTTTGAAAATGTAAGATCAAAAAAGTATAACACAATGAAAAGTGCTTTGAATATTGATGTAAAACTGTACATTGTTTTGTCTCCATTGTAAGTTTAATTAGTAAAGAAAACAAATATTTTACTAAGTGTACATCCACTTCCAGTGCAGCATTTGTGCAGTTTTGCAGAATGATTCATTGTTGCTGATTATTGTGAAGTGCTCTGTTTTCGTTCCCACAAAAGGCAGCAGCAAGAACACTGAACATTATATGTTCCTGGATCAAGGTTTAGCTTGTGTTTTGATTGCTCGTTGTATGCTTAGTTCTGTGTATATGTGCAGTGACACAATGCAAACAGCTGTGGGATCATGTTTCATGTTCGGTGATGGCATGAAGAAATGTAAACGTGAGCTTCAGTTCAAATAAGTGATGTTTTGTTGGCTTAAGATGACTTATTTTTATTGTGTCTGAATAAAAGCAGATAGTGAAATGAGAGCGTTGTCAATTTATTTTTCACATTTGTAAATGTGGACATCGTGTCACTCAGGTTTGAGAAAAAAAATGCATGTTCATTGGTAACAGGCGCTCTAAAATGGATGCGTTGGGATGTTAGCACAGGAGGTTCATTTCAAACATGAATGCATTGACACTTGTGAAAGTAGGTAACATCCAAGTGTTGAGAGAAAGGAGGAGACAGTGGATTCAAGCAAAACAGAGAGGAGATCGACGGACAGTAAATGGTAAATGGTAAATGGCCTGTATTTATATAGCGCTTTAGTCAGTGCCACAGTGCCTACTCAAATACACGGGATGTTAGAATGTCTCTAAAGAATTCCCTTTGGAGAAACAGCTGCTTAGCGGCAACCAAGTTCACAGTTCACTCTAAAATTTGAATATTGAGCGAAGGACACTTTGATGAAAAGCTAACATTTGACTGGATAAACAGACTAAAATAAAATAAGTAAAGCAGGTGTCTCTACGAACAGAGCTTCCAGTCAGAACAAAGCAGCATCTTCCTCAAGGTGTGCCTGAGCTCGGCGATGCGGAAGGCGTATATGGCCGGATCGAAGAGCGCGTGGCTCGTCAGCAGCGCCACATGCAGCTGGAACAGCGATCGGTAACACTCGCAGTAGGGGTTCATGGGGCACACCATGATGATGACGAGGTGGAAAAAAAATGGCGACCAGCAAACCACCAGCGTCCCAAACAGGATGGTGACGGTCTGGGCCCCTCTCATGTTGCTCCCCCACCGCTGCTGGTGATGATTGTTCCTGCCACCAACCGGTAACGCTGCAATCTTTCTGGCATGGATGCGCGCCAGCATGAACATGTAGACATACAGGGAGCAGATAATCACCAAGGAGATGAAAAACAATATGACGAAGCAGATCATGATGAGCTTGAAGTCAAAGAACAATATCATCAGCACGCCCAAGCCCCCGCACACAGTCCAGATGATGCCCAAGATGGCCCCAGTGCGCTGCATTGTCATGATGTTGTGGTATCGGAGTGCATGGAAGATGGTGATGTAACTGGAAGACAAACAAATCATTTCATTATCTCATAACTTATCACAGGCTGTCAAGGATTGAGTGACTACGTTTAACTTCACTGAAGCTTCCTCACTCAGCTCGGTCGCCTAAATTTACGACATTAACTGAGCCTTAACATGATACTGCTGTGCATTACCATTAGCAGGAAGCTTTGTGCCACAAAATAATCCTAAATGTATTTAATCCACACTGGATGACATGTTTTGTAAAGAGTCAAATGGTTTTTTGTTTTTGTCTCAGGAGATGGTGAAACCCAAAACAGAGTTAAGAGTTGAATGCATATTAGCCGCATAAGCATTAATTGGGTGACCAATTGTGCGAAAAATGTGGGACATGGTCATGAACATTATCATTAGCTTGTTGTTCAGCCCAGAAGTGGACAAAATTATTTTATTTTGCTCATTATACTCTCCCAATTCCACTGCTAGTTAAGCCTTTTGTGGCTGGCTGCCTCTTATAAATAAAATGTTTTAATGGGGGCGGGCAAGTGTCGCTTCTATTCTCACAAGCAGAGGTGAAATCCTGAGATGAATTTATGAAGGATATCAGCTCTCTTTTAGAGAGCTTTTCTTTTGGCTCACAGGATTACTTGGAAAACTACTGAAGACGGCTGTGTTCCATATGAGCATTTAGTATTTCTACTGTAGATATAACTGAAAAATAAGTGAAAGTAAGCAGAGTTCCCTTTAAAAAAAAACAAAACTATAAATAAATGTGCATATGTTGCATTCTCTTTTTCTTTGACTGATTTTAAAATTTGGATAGCTGCCTGAAAGGTGGAGAAACAGTATCATTGCAGTAATAAAGTATTCATGATTTTTGGGTAGACATGATGGAAGCCACTGCAGTAAGCCTTTAACTGTACATCAAAGAGTCAGAGCCCAGTGGAAAGCTTTTTAAATTCTCCTTATATAAATATCAGCAGAGGATAAATCATTACGGGGCCACAGATCCATAGAGAAACCATTTAGAACATCTAGATTAGCAGCAAATAGAATAAATCATTCGTTGTATGGCAAATATAACATGTTGTGGGTTCCTGTAAGTAACAGTCAGTTCTTTCTTTAAAAGGGTTTTCAAATAGCCCTAAGCATTGTTATGCCTTAGAAAATGAGATTTTCTAAGGCATAACAAAAAAAAAATGAGATTTTGGGGGATGAGTAGCCTAGAGTGGAATATTTTCATCTCGCCATGAAAACCATTCTCCACACTATAAAATAAACCATTTTAAGATATTTATGTTTCCATATCCAAGAGCTCCATACATACCGGTCCACGGCAATGGCCAGGACACTGAAAAAGGACCCCAAGAAAGACATGCACAGCAGGGAGTCGATTGCATCGTCCAGCGTGGTCTCAGAAGAGCCTTTCTTATTCAAGTGTCCCACATCAGCAAACACAATCATGAGGTTTTCCAAGGTTTTGGTCAGGCTGGCGATGGCGTGGAAGGCTGCCAGGCTGCAGATGAAGCAGTACATTGGCGAGTGGAGGTTTCTGTTCCGTATGACAGCTACCACAACAAGGAAGTTCTCTGCAAAGCTCACCGCTCCGATGGTGAAGAAGACGGGGTTGGGAACCACCACCTCAGGACAGTGCGATTGGTTCAATATAGAGCTGTTCATTGTTGGTCAAGACAGTGGTCGTCCAGGATTAAATGCTGATTAAAGGCAGATGTTTACTTTGGGGCTATTTTGCATTGAAAGTTTATTAAGTTTAATAATATTGTTTCACGAATTGGTTTAAATATGAATATTTGCAGTACATTTTAAACTGCCTTCATTCTTACATTTACAAAAACATTTTACCCGCTGACCTGTTTTTAACATAGAGATCAAGTTTAAACTGATACCTGTGACTTAATGAGTCCTATAAAGGTCTCAAAATGTAGATTTACACACTTTGCAATATCCTTCAACTTTCTTGTCATCAATAATTTCATGAAATCATGACAAAAATATTTGCTGAAAACCTAAAAAAAGTCAACAAAAAGTAACAATTGTTTTTTATAGATACAAATTTGAATTTAAAACACTAATTAATGGTAAGAGACTTACTGACTAAATTTATGGACAGCTGCCAAACAAAACAATGGAGATAAACTACAAAAATACAGGCAGCAGGTTTACATATATAAAAAATAATATAATAATGTCACATGCTACATAATGACACAATATTAATGTTGCTTTTAACAGGCTTTCTTTTGTGTTGCTATTACAAAGAATGAACATTAGTTTATTAGATCAGGACTGTCACAAGCTTTGACCTATAACCTATTTATCCAAGAGGTGAAAGACTTTGTAACTGGGTTTGTAGAAGTGCTATAAAGATTAAAAATACATTTTAAAAATTGGAATAATAACTAGTTGCAGTAGTTTTCACAAAAGAAATATAACCATGTTAGGTCAGATTTGAGGTTTTCCTTTTAAGCTAAGCTTAGAAAATATATCATGTTTTAGTGAGAAAGTAAAATAGTAGTATGCAGCTTGTTTGCAGTAAAGAAACATTAATGCTAGATGAGAAACGATAGAAGCAAAGTGGTTCTGAGTTTGAAAATAATTACAAAAGTTCATCTATTGTTACCTTAAAACATAATTGATTTTTGTTGAGTGAAACAAAAAAATAAAAATATAAAAGACCAAGAAACAAAAATTACTCCACGTGTTACAGCAAAAATCTGACCTCAGGTGGAGGCCGTGGGTTGTTTTCAGCTGTCCTCCACTGGGTAATCGCAAGAGCGAAGGTCACGTTTAAGAAAACACGCACAGGGCCGCTGAAAACAGGCAGCTCGCTGCAGCTCCCGTGGAACAAAGTGTCTTTCTCATATATGTCCAGGTTTAAATCGAGGAGTGCTGGCTCCGGTACACCTCAGTCAGCTGTGGCCACATCAGCCTCTCTGCTGTTCACATGAGGGGCAGCCAATCGATTTTTTCATTCTGTTTGTTCAGAGCTCACAGATGTTATTTCCAAACTGGTTTACGTGTGATTGCAGTGCTGTGTTTGGTGGTCTTCTTGTCTTTGAGTCTGGTGCAGATGTTTACGTGATGCTTTCACCTGTAAAAAACAAGCATGTTATTAAAATTATTCTTCTGTTAGAGATTCTACGTGCATTGTTTGACTGTTCAATTCTGTGTGAATCATATAGCGTACAACATTTATCTTGTGCTTTGTCTGTGACGAGTTGTGTGACCTTTAATTTAAAGCTCGCCCGATGTCTGTGTATTCTGCCATTCCATTCGAATGCATTTAGTCCCACCTTTGTAATTGAACACTGTCCTTTTATATAAAGAAAGCACTCTGTGATCTTGGCTGTGACTCAGAATTCCTGTCAGGCTGCAGTCTGAAGATTATTATAATAATTATATCCAAAAACCTCTGATCCCTTTTTATTATGACATTCTCAGAGCAGCTTCAGTCCTCGCAAAGATGCCACATTAAATCCAGTTAAAGCAACTTTGATTGTTTATGTTTTCTAGTTTATTTTACCATATAAGCATAATAGTTTTTAAATAGCCTTTCAATGAGACTATTGGCATTTCCACGGCAAACTCATGTCATGTTTCCAAATTGCCACATTTGCCACTATTCGCTTTCTTTTAATTTTTATCTTTCAGTTATCATTTTATTAAGCTTAGGTAACAAACACTTGCTTAACTTTGAAAAACAAATTATATGGTATATATTCTGATAATATAAGGACAAGCCTGCCTTATATGTCAATGTCTGACATGGTAAACTGTGCTGTGTATACCAGTGAAGCAAGTGTTTTTGATAGTGCACACATTTGAAGATGACTATATTTTTCTAAATACATGCCAGCTGCTTCCAGCAGTATCATAATCAGCTGACTGTTTGAGCTACATGTCAACATGCTAACTAGGCATGCTGCCAAGCCAAGAAAAGAAATTATATCTACTCTTAAATTACAGCCCGTTCTCAAATTAACAACTGATTGGTCTCGAGGAAGCACGGTGGCACGGTGGTTAGCACTGTTGCCGCACAGCAAGAAGGTCCTGAGTTCAATTCCAACATCAGGCTGGGGTCTTTCTGTGTGGAGTTTGCATGTTCTCCCTGTGTTTGTGTGGGTTCCGGGTACTCCGGCTTCCTCCCACCGTCCAAAGACATGCAGCTTGTGGGGATAGGTTAATTGATTAATCCAAATTGCCACTAGGTGCGAATGGTTGTCTGTCCCTGTGTGTTAGCCCTGCGGCACACTGGCGACCTGTCCAGGGTGTACCCCGCCTCTCGCCCTATGACAGCTGGGATAGGCTCCAGCGCCCCCCGCGACCCTGAAAAGGATAAATAAGCGGAAGCGAATGGATGGATGGTCTTGAGGAAAAGCCTAACATTTGCTGCAGGTCAATGTGTCCTAATGTAATAATAAATAAAATGTCACTTTTATCTCATTTTAAGCTATGTATTTTATTCTGAAATGAAAGATTTTCTATAATAGAAAGAATTCAAGTTGTAATGCAGCGCGTTGGAGCTACTGAGGAATGGTGTCAGAATTCTCATTGTGACATCATTTTGAACTTTGACTTTAACACCTAGCTTGTTCTGGGTCTAGCTGCTTCCTAATGAGCAATCGGGGCAAAACTGGTCAAGTGTTAATCCCACTACAAACAAACAATTTGTATCAATAAAGATAGGATGAATGTACTTTCATGAGTACTTTACAACTGCCCCCAGGCTGTCTGGTAGCAGACAAAATAAAATGAATGTCCATGAACACAAATCAGTGCTGTCTTAAAGCTAATATGAAGCTAATATGATTTATAGTCAGTCACAAATTATTATTATAATATCAGCTACATCAGCTAAAGCTATCTATCTGAGACCAACCAGGGGTCCATGGCACTGGAATATCCACTGTGGCTTTGCACGATTCTTCAATGCCTGAACCTGTCATTTGTTACTGCTGCAGCAACACATGATCAGCTGGGTAAAGCAGACCTGTCTTACAAGTCATTTCCAATTTTTTAGGAAGTGCAAGCTAACAAATGTCACTACAAACATTTGGACGCCACAAGGCAGGTATCCCTGTAGGACGTGTTATGAAAAGTATTGTAAAGTCATGCTTTCATGGTCTGTATTCATACTGAGCAGTGAATGTTCAGCGGGAGCTGTTTGTCCTCCCCAAACTTGCCTTAGGTGTACTTCCCAGTTAAATCCTGCTCCAGGGAAACCCATTTTCTTGGTGAGTCAGTCCTGCCAGCAGTTGATGCCAGAAGCGAAAAGTCACTTGGAAAACTTCCCCAAGTAAATGAAAAAATAACAAACGTTCACTGCTTGCTTCAGCCATTATACTACTGAAATTCTAAATGTAAGTTCTCATATGTTTCCATGCAAAACTATTTCATCTTGGCTGTTGACCTGTATGCAAACGTCTGCTTTAGGTTAACACTCTTTTTACAACATCCAGCCAACTAAGCTTTGAAATGGTGTCAAGAGTTGGCTTGGAGCATTTTAGTAAATGTTAATGAGCATTTGCTGACATTCATTTGGGTGAATTCTAGTGGTGCAACGGATCACGGTTGATCGGTAATCCGAACCGATCCCACTCCACGGTTCGGTACGCACGTGATACGAAAATTCGAAAAAGAAGAAAAAAAAGTGTGTGTATGGTGCGCGTGATCAGTCTGTCAAGCGATAGTTATGGCCAGCGCTAGCGGCCCAAGTGGAGGAGCAGAGGAGTTTGCGGTATTTAAGCAGCCCTTTGCTGCCCAATCCGACCGGGCTAAAGCTATTACAGAAGCTACTGGGGAGTTTAGCTGCAGACGGGAGGCCGTATTCCGTTGTGCAAAACAAGGGGGTTTAAACTATGATGAACGTGCTTGAGCCACGCTATGATATCCCGT